ATACAGTCATAATTCATATGGAAGCATGATGGATGTACTTAGTTTTTCACAGGATTTTATAGATTCTTGTGAAAAAACTGTTTTTATACAATTTGACTTGCTTTTCCAGTAGTAGCTGTATCCCTCCCCTTCATTAATTACACAACTGTTCAAGTCACATGCCATATCATACATGATTCTGGCACCACATTAAAAAAAGAAAAAAAAAAAAATAGAAATTCAACATTTTATGTAGCACTTAAATGATTTCCACATTTTCGGAGGTCGGTTAACTCAGCTTTTGTTGTTGTTGTTGTTTTTTTTTAAATGTACGTTGTTGATAGTATTCCAACATCTTTGGAAAACGGGGTAGTAACTGAGATGTGAGTGAAGTTGGCCCCACACTTTCTTCAAATCCAACAAAAGTGGTATCACATGTTTGTGCTGCAAAAATGTTTGTTTGTGCCACTATCATTTCAAAGATATTAATAAAAGTTTCTAGAGGTCACCTAAGGTCAGGAGGTAGATGACTTCTTCGGTACAGTAATGATGGTGGAGGCTTCAATGCATGTGGGAACGCCAGCCTGACCCTAATGATGTGTTGAAGATGTCTGTGAAGACATGTGTGAGTTCCACAGCATAGTCCGTCAGTTCTCGTCCAAGGATGTTATCAGGACCTGGAGCTTTACTTGTATTGATTTTGGCAAGGGATCTCCACACACTGTCTGGGGATTGTGTCACCACGGTCTGCAGAGTGGGCTTGTAGTCTGTGATGGTTTGTATTCCTTGTCACTGCCTCTGAGTATCTCTGCTATCGCTGAAGCTTTGCAAAATCCTCCTGGATTACTGCCTTTTCATCTCTGATGCCACGTGACAGGTTTGCCCTTGCTGTTCTTAGGCTCACCTAATCCTCGGCTCTGAAGGCTGCATTTCTCAACCTTAGGAGCCTTTAGACCTCACCTGTGAGCTATGGTTTCTGATTGGCCCGGACAGTGACAGCCCTGGTCTCTGTGACATCATCGATGCATTTTGGGATGTAGGCAATGACAGTTTCGGTATATTCCTGAAAGTCTGTGGTGTTGTCGTGTGTGGCAGCCTTTTTAAAGATCTTCCAGTCTGGTTGAAAAGCAGTCTTGCAGTGCCATCAATTTTGTCTGATTTGGGTAATGTGGGGGGGGCTGGTTGACCTTTTGACCTTTAAATTTTCTTTAATATCTTTAAAATGATAGCGGCATAAACAAAAATTTTAGCAGCATAAACGTTTGATACCACTTTTGTTGGTTTTGAAGAAGGTGGGGGGGCCAACTTCACTCACATGTAACTTAGTATTTTTCTGCTATTTTTTTTTTTTTTTTTTTTTTTTTTTTTTTTTTTTTTTTTTTGGCTCACATGTTAAAGTTTAACCCTCTGCTGTAAAAGGCTGTTGGGGTATTATCATCACCCGGGCAGGTGCATTAACACCTAAGTTTGTTAATGCAATAACTAAAGAAAGAAAGCAACATAGCACAGACGCTATCATAGGTGCATCTACTAAAAATCTCAGATGAGTTCTCGGTGACCGCAACCTCAAGTTCAGAGGTCAAGTTTTCTGAAAACCTTGTGAGAGCGATAACCCAGCGATGTAGGATTTTCAAGTTGATACCATCGGCGTGTCTACTAGGCAGAGGGGTAGCACTGGTGATCACAAGTATTTTAATAAATGTTTTCCTCATTGAGGTATGAGTTGCCGGCACCCTCATCAGGACAGAAGAATGACATTACAGCGTGGCAGGAGTGCGTGAACAACTCAATGGCCCAGCTGGAGCACCAGGCGGTCCGTATCGAGAACCTGGAGCTCATGTCGCATTATGGAACCAACGCATGGAAGGCCTACAACGAGTGCGTATAGTCTCCAGATCCAGTCTGCACAGTGTTGATGTCTGTGGGGAAATACTGCTGACACGTGTCGTGTTTGATTTTTTTCTTCAGCAACTTGGCCTTCATGATCGAGATGGCACAAAAGGAACTTCACAAATTCAGGTGAGTTCATTGCCTCAAACCTTTTGCTCCAAAACACGGTGTTTAATATGTTTTAATATTTACCTGTTGGTGTGTTTGTTCTGCCACACAGGAAGCAAATTCAGGATTTGAACTGGCAGCGTAAGAATGATCAGTTGGCAGCAGGAGCCAAACTCAGAGAGCTGGAGTCTAAGTATGTTGTTGTAAGAGTTTACGTTTGTATCATTGACGCACAGTTTTCCCTCTGTTTTAACATCTGTATTTGTGCCCTCAACAGCTGGGTGTCACTGGTCAGTAAGAACTATGAGATCGAGCGGGCAATCGTTCAGCTGGAAAACGAAGTCACTCAACTCCGGCAACAGCAGGGAGACGAAAACAAGGAGAACATCCGACAGGACTTTTAGGAGCTACTGATCCCTCGGTCGGATTCCATCTTGGCTTGTGAGGCTAACAGGACTAAGAAGCAACCTTAGGACTGAAGTTTTTTTGCCGCGTTCCAAATGCGCCCATGAATCTCAATTTGCAGCACAGTTTACCACTGTACACCTTTTTCCAGTGTAAAAACACGACACAATACATCATCTTTTCACAAACGGAAAGTTGAACACAATAAAACAGCTTTTGTTGCCTCACGTGGTTTGGTAGGACAGGCAGATTAAATGTCACATGTGACATTATTTAGTCTGTTGGCTGTAAGTGCTAATGATATTATAGCATTAGCGTTTAGTATTTTGTCACATGAGCTCATTTTGGAAGTTTACATCGATCTGATTCTTCAAGCTCTCTTCCAGCTCAACAGTGTGTTTGGAAAAATGTACATAGTTTGTTGTTTGAAGCCAGACTCATCTTTATGAGCTCCAGCATGACTTCAATTAATGTAATTTTTTAAAGCGGTTTTAATAAATTGAACTTTTCTTATATTGTAGTGTGAATTTGATTGAATGCTTATTAATATTTCCCTGTCTTTTTTAAACTTGGTCTGATATCCACTCACTTATTTTGCTGATTATATTTTACTCTAATTCAAAATCATAAAACACACCAGTTTCTTCTTTCCTGTAAGGCACAGCAGCCTTAGTTAGCTATATCCTCCTACAAGGGGGCCTTGGTGTGCTCGTTTACACAATACTCTTACAGTTCAGTCCCTCAGTTCATGTACTGTTCAGCTGAAGCTAGTAGCTTTAGCACTTCTCCCGTTAAACCAGCTTCCATCTGATTGGCTGCCGCTCACAAACAGAAGAACATCAGGTGAGTTGAGCTGTCTGCCTCAGATGACAATTTTAAGGGGATTTCCTCTCACCAATGTCACACAGGTAATAGAAAAAAAGCTGAAACAGAGAAACAAACGCAGTCTAAATCTGACCTTTAGGCTCTCAGGAAATACTTGAGTT